CTTCTTTCGGGGAGATTCACTTCTCTTCTCATCTAAGGTTAACTTCTCTTCATACTCAATTAATTATCTTCAACTATTTAATTTAATATTTTTTTGAGAAATTATTAATTAACTAAAATCTCTAAGGTTGACTAATTTTATTTTTATTAATATTATATGTAATGTTTATTTAAAATTTTTATTTGGTGTAGATATTTTCTAAAAATTTGTATTTGATTAAGAAATCCAATTTTTTGACATCAAATGTATTTACTTCATCAGTTAGCTTATCAGCCACCAACTAGTTTTGAAATAAATGTCTACAATGAAAAAGGTACACATTTTTGGCAATGTGTAATTATTATATTTTTAACTAATAAAATGACAATTTTTACTTAAACTATAGATAGAGTTTTTTTTTTTTTTTTAAATCTTATAATTAAGAATGGAATGGAAAAGCAGATATTTAATTTTGAAAATGAACATTTATTTTGAGACAAACTAAAATAATAATGAAATATTTATTTTGAGAAGGAGTGAGTATGTAATTAAGGCAAATTGGATTAAAAAGAAACATATTTTTATTTAATTCAAATTTTAAAAATATAATTTCAAAAAGTTATTTTAAAAATATTTATTTAAAAATCTATAGCTTGAAAATATAATGAAATGATAAATATTTTATAGCTTAAAATCAACATAAAATATTAAAGTCGTTGAACAATAATTAAATGTATAAAATATTTTTTAATTATTACAAAATTAATAAAATGTATGGATTAAAATCGAGTTTATGTTTATCTTGTAATGATTACTACTTGCAATTCCACGTTGTGGACATGAATGAACTCGCTGAAAATATGATTATTAAAATAAAATAAATTTTAAATTATTTATCAATAAATTTATATTTAATTTCATTTAAGAAACATAACTTCTAGAATAGTTATATATATTAATGAATAATCATTCAACTAGAAATGTATTTGTGTAATGCAGCAAAATACATCTCGATATTAATATTTTGTTTTATTCTTTGTATCAGTCGATGTTATAATACGGTCTTATATGATTTTAAGAAAACGATAATATTTTACTTTTGAATAATATAAATCTTAAAATATTATATAAAAAATTTAGAAAAATATATGGATATTAGTATTAAATTAACTATTTAAATTTTTTATTTTTTATGTAATTTCTTTAATTCAAATTTTTTCATTATAATTTAGTTTGAGTTCAATAACGAATTAATTTATATTTAATTTATCTAGAATGATACTCGTACAATGCAGCAAGATACATCTTGATTTTAATACTTCATTTTATTCTTTATCTCAGTCAATGTTATAATATGATCTTATGTGATTTTGAAAAAGCGATGATGTTTTTATTTTTGAATAAAATATAAATTTGAAGATACGATAAAATTTTGACAAAAATATATCGATGTTAGTATCAAATTAACTATTTAAAATTTCTCGTTTTTTGTGTAATTTCTTAATTCAAATTTTTTATTATAATTTAATTTGGGTTCAATAACGAAGTAATTTATATTTGGTGGCTGTTTGGCGGTTACTGAATGATTTAGTGTAGAATAATTAAGTGATCAGAATGATTAAGAGGCCCTTATGATATAGTTCAAAATGAAATATAATTGTTTGTTAACTGTTTACAATAAAATTAGGGCGTTGAATGATTAATGAATGCGTAAGATACAAAATCATTCAGAGGGTTTTGGAACTATTAAGAGGCAGATTCTTTTTTTACCAAACAAAATTCATCTCTTAACGATTCAAAGTCTGCCTCTTAATGGAACTATTAAGAGGTAAATAAACAACCCCTTGGTTTAATAATATAATTTTTTATAAAAATAATAATTAAGTATTTTGTTAGGACTCAATGATTATCCTGATTATATTTTAGATCTTTTTATATTTTAAAATGAGATGTTTATTCTTTATTTGATTATATTTATTCGCAGTTAGTTAAACGAATTCAAACATGAAGCTTTAATAAGTTGTACTTACGCACAATTTACTTATAATCTTGAATTTTAAGTAATATGCATCAATAAACAGTACATCATACATAAAAAACGATTTTTAAGAATTTTGTCAAATGTTTTATAATATAGTATAAACAATTGCTTCACTAAATATTTTAGCTATTACGAATTTATATTTAATAGAAGAAGATTAAGTGGAACATGTTTATGAAATTGTAAAGATTTTATGATCTCAAGTATAAAATATTGTAATTGATGATTTTTTAAGAATTTTTTGAAGTCATTTTACATTTTGTTAATTAATTTATCAGTTAGTTTTTTGCTAAATGCGATCAGGTCATCAACTAGTTTATCATCTAACAACTAACTTATCAAATATCATATAGTTTATCAGCTATCAGTGAACTTGTCAGCTAATTTACAAAACATCGCCTAAATAAAATGTGTCATAACGAAAAAGTGACATGACATTTTTCTGAAAGGGACAAAGCACAATGTGTATCGTTACTTTTACGAAAATATCGGCATATAAGTAAATCTGAATTGAAATCTTACCCAGATAATAATTGAAAAGTTGTTATGTTTTACAGGAAAAAATGTTGTAAGATCAGATGTAACATATGACATTGTAAAAAACGGTAGCCAAACATCGTGCACACACATAAAACAGGTTATTTTTTTTTACAGTTTGAAAGAATTTTCAAAATAGTATGAGAATATGAACTTGATAAGGAAATCAAGTCAATTGATAGGAAAGTTCACACTATAAAACAAAGAGGCTTCACTGACAGAAAAATCTGTCAGTAATCTGTTGAAAAAAACCATCACCGGTGATAGCGAAAACAGACACACAAACACAAATGTGGCACAATGGATATGGTAGCTACATATGTTGCCTCAAATCCTAAGTTTCACTCAAAAATGAAGCACCTAGCTCTTGACTATCATTTTGTTCATGAGAATATCCAAAGTCGAAAGCTGCGTGTTTCATATATCTCTGGCAAGGATCAACTAACTGATGCTCTTATTAAGCCACTTGCAAAAACACGGTTCAACGAACTTATATCTGAGACTGGTCTCACTATTCGATCGTCCATCTTATAGGGGCATGATAGATATACACAAAATAAATCCTATATTAAGTAATTATTTCCTCATAGTCACTTGATTGTAAGTTACGATTTAGTTCTGTAGGTTACGATTTACTCAGGATGTATACATATACACACCTACAAGTAATAATACAATTAAGTTTTTTTCACTCAATCACGTTCTTACTTCTGTAAAATCCTAAACATGCTCTCTCTTTCTAGAAACTAGACGGTTTTAACTGACTACAAAGCTAAAAGTTGTGTCCAAAAATGAAAAGAAACTAGGGTTTGATAAAATAGTTTGTATATGGGACTTAAATTATGTTTCACCACACTCTACATAAGATGCATGGATCAAATAATTAATGTGTTTTAATTATTTGGTATAAAACTAAAAATTAATGCATTTGTACTATGCATTTTGCTTATACGTATACATATTTGCTTTTGCACAGGTATATTGGCAACTAGTTATATATATCTATACTATCTTATAAATGAGATTTTTCAAAAGTTTTAAAAACAAATTTTAATGCACAAAGTCTTAAAAGTCTTAAAAACAACTCATAATGCATTAAGTATTACTACTTTATGCATTTAGTTTTAAAATCTTTTAATCTACAATTAAAATAACATATAGTACAAGTTATCAATGCACATTACTATTTTTTATTTTCATGTTCCCAAAATACTTTTGACACCTTTTCACTCATGCTTTCACTCTCTCATACCTTTATGTCTTCTCCCATCCCCCAATGTGAGATTCAAATTGATATTCACCATAAGTTATTAAAAGTTCTGTTATTCATCTCTCATTCAATTGCTCTAGAACATCCGGTCTCGATGTCGATCTCTTAATTCTTTGCTCTTGGTGTAAATCGAACACATTTATGAAGTCGTTTAAATATGTTCCATTTTAAATATATTGGATTTTAAACTGTCATACATTTTTTTTCATCGATAGACCTATAACTCTTATTTATTCAAATTGTATTAATATGTAAAGACCAAGTGTAATTTATATTATTGTTAAATCTTCTATAATAAAACTAGTTAAACTTCAAAATCGTTAAAATTCACGGCTACCGCCGCATTGCGCGTTACATAACTAGTATATATATATATACTCATGACAATACATATAAAAAGATCGAAAGAGTGAGAAATATTAATTACTTTATTTCATTTGTGTTATTTGAACAATTAAAACGATAGAAACAAAAGACTAAGGATTTGCATGGCATGCAGGTAGGGTGATCATATATATGATCAATCGACGGGAGAATAAAGTGTAGGAATCAAATGTAAAGAATTTTTCTTCGTTACCAAAACTCCTCCTCCTAAGGTCTCAGCGGTATCAACGTTGGAAGGGGTTAATCCATGAGGGAGCTTCCAGTCATAGTTGTTAAGCATTTGAGCAAGAAACAACTCCGTTGTTCTTAAACCGAAATAAATCCCAGGGCATATTCTCCTCCCAGACCCAAATGGAAGGAACTGATAATCGTTTCCTAAAAAGTCAACCGATGTTTTCTGAAATCTCTCCGGTTTGAAGCTGTCTGGGTCCTCCCAGTATTCAGGATGAGTCGCACATGCCCATGCATTGATGAACACTCGATACTTGACAGGTATATCATAACCATCAATCTTACATTGTTCCCTACAGTCATGTGGGACTAATAAAGGGAACGGAGGGTGAAGCCTTAGAGTTTCTCTTATAATACACTGCATATAGCTTAAATCTTGTAAGTCTGCCTCTGTAATTACTGTCTTTCCCTTGAGGGCTGCTCTTATTTCAGCTTGTACCTTGCTCATTATAGTCGGATGTTTTATCAGTTCTGTCATTGCCCATTCAACTGTTGCTGTTGACGTATCCGTGCCTCCTGCAAACACATCCTGCAATTGCATGCATCTTGTTCAATAAATAATTACAACTTAAATTACTATCAAGAGTTATATAATTGGTTTAATTAATTAATGAAGCATATGATGTATTTGGTTACCAAAAACAAGGCTTTCAAGACGTCGTTGGTGATGGGAAACTCAAGACCACCTTCCTCTCTAATCTTTAGAAGAGAACCAAGAAGTCCTTCCTCTTCCTCTGCCTGATCACCATCTCTTTTTCTCTGTCGGTGCTCATCCAAAATGTCATCAAGGAGATCATCATAAGTCTTCTTCAGCTGCATAACCCTAGACCTCCTTTTGAATTTGTCAAGGAACTCCAAATCAGGAAACATATCCGACATCCCGCTTGTTTCTCTTTCCATCGCTTCCATGAACTCTATCAGACGATGCTGCTGTCTACAGTTACTCCCAAATGCTGATATGCACACAACGCTATTAATACCTTGAGCAACCTTTGCATGGATGTTTACGGGCTTTCCACTTGATAACCGGAAAGCCTCCAACATACGACCAATCTCTTGTTCTCTGATCYTTTGGAAAGATCGCACTTTYTTAACACTAAGGAGTTGCAAGGAAAGGATCTTTTTCATTTGTCTCCAGTACTCACCATACTGAGCGAGGACGATGCCTTGGTTACCAGAGAGTACCAACTCTGCTAAAAGCACATATGGGCGGTCAGCGATGGCGATATCATTGGTTTTCAACACCTCTTTGGCTAGCCGAGGTGATGAGATGACGACACTATTGATTTGGCCGAGTTTGACGTGCATGATGGGGCCATACCGGCTAGCCAAGTCACGGAAAACACGGTGTGGAAGAGCTCCGGCCACCTGGTGTAAGTTACCGATTAGAGGCAGCTTTGGTGGCCCCGGAGGCAAGTTTAGAGCTTTGGGTTTCTTGTTGAGCACAAAGTAAAATGACAAGATGAGAGAGGAAACGATGAGAAGGATGGTGATCATGATTGCACGTAATTTGGATCAATGGTGATTTAGCCTCTAACAGATGGAGTAATTTATAGAGAAATCATGTTTATTTTTCTCCTAAAAAACCAACCATATTAATTTATAGGCAGTTGGAAGAAACAGGGTTATTTAGAATTGCAAATTTCAAACAAAAAAGTTTTTTTTTTATCTCTCTCTAGAGAACTTATTTTTATACCTTTAAATTGACTAACTAATACCACAATTAATGTAAAAATGACCCATTATTTGTTTTGATTATTTAATGTCAAAATAATTAATTTTAATTACATAATTAAATCTAATTTTTAATTATTTACGTCCTAATTAATAATCAATTCCAAATTTGGACATAATTTTTGATACCCAACTGTTGTCTTTTTTTGAGCTTTATCACGGTCAAAATGCCTTGATTAACATCTCACAGACTTTATGGCTTTCAGGGAACTTCCGGTTATAATAGTTATGAATAGATCTTTTTTGGGGTCGCGAGCTGTTTGACCACTCGGTTTTTTTTCCTGTTCTTTGATTGGTTTTGTCTGTTTTGTTTAATTTATATATCTTGCAAACAAGTCTCGTGGACCTTTAGTTATTATACTGTATATTTTTCTTTAGCGATTTAATGAAAATCGTCTTCTTTTCGGATTATTATTTTCTAAAAATGCATACCTTTACTATATGTGAAAACCAGTAGGGTTACATTTTGGTCTCATAGTTAATGAAGTTGTATAACTTGACTTTTTCAATATTTTGTGCCAACCCCTATTATGGCTCATGAGTAATTGCACCGTATTCCTAGCGCCGTAAACGAACCGAACGTTCAGCGAACCGTTCGGCGGGAAGTTCGTTTATTTAATAAATAAACGAACATGAACAATTTTTTTTGTTCGTTTAGTTAAACGAACGAACATGAACAAGAGTCTCGTTCATGAACGTTCGTTTATATTCATTTATATATTAAATTTAATATATAATCTTTTATTTATTTACTTTGAATTCAAATAATATTTATTTATGTTCGTTTAACCCGTTCGTTTATGTTCGTTCGTTTAGCATGTTAACAAACAAACATAAACGAACACAAATTAACACACCTTATTTCTAAACGAACAAACACGAACACAAAGATTTTCGTTCGTTTGTTCAGTTAAGTTAAAGAAACGAACATGAACAAGCCTCCGTTCGTGTTCGTTTACAGGTATTCCCAAGTATTCAAATGTCTTTCTATTAATGCTACTATACTTAGGTTTCTGCTTTTTTCTACGATAATTGACATTCGTAAGCTATAATAATATATATGACTTATATTTCCGATACTAATAACATACCAAAACGATATTGTGTGAAAACAATACTACTGCTATATATATCTCAAACGATGTCGTTTGATGAGTTGGCATTTATTTCATAACCTTAATTTATGTGCAACATTTTTGCTAACTTTTTTAAGAAGACAACTAAGTACAACGAGGGTATAACTCAACTTCTACCTCCTGAAATACTTCAACAAAATTTTGATTTGCAGTTACACCTCTTTTGAAATTCATTTTTGGAGACTCTGCTACATATAAAACTTTTGATTACATTGTATAAATGAGATGACAGAGAATATATGTTAAAAACAAAAGTGGGTTAAGCCTAAAACGATTAACAATCTGAAACTAAACCTAAACCATTAATTAATGATTTGAACTTAAAACCAAACAACTAAAGGTTTGAACATAAATAACTTCGGTTATAGTTTTACACAGGTCGATAAAAGACCCTAAACACATGTAAATTTGGGGCCCTGTTCAAAATCTCACATTTAACATGCTAAGGGACGGACCTGCTAATTTGAGTAATTTCCCCTTACAAGTGAAGCATCTGGTGTGATGTGAAGCTTGGATTGCGAAGTAGCAAAACGAGAAGATAGATGTTAACGACGCTTTCATCAAAATATCAGCTAGCTAAATAGTTGTAGGCACATACGAACATGCAGATGTACCACTACAACAAAATTGAGTTTATAAGACACCCCAATCTCTAAGCGTTCTAATAGACCGTTATATAGGACTTAAATTATAGGACCAAAATATAAAGCATCCTATCTAAAGGTGTTGTAATAAGTTTATATGACGTTTTTGGACGTCTTAACAAGTTTTTTAGGACATTTTTAATACAAAGTGTCGCATTAGCAACTTTATAAAAAGTGTCCTATAAACTCAATTTTTTATAGGACATTTGTTTTTATAGGACAGTTTTTCAAATAGTGTCCTATAAAAGTTTGCTAATGGGACGCTTTATATTTAAAGTGTCCTAAAAAACTTATTACGACGTCAAAAAACGTCATATAAACTTATTACTAACACCCTTAGATATGACTTTTTATTTTTTTGGTCATATAAAAAGATCTATTAAGACGTTTAGAATTTAAGAATGTCCTATAAACCTCATTTTATTGTAGTGTGTTTGAACAAAACCATGTCCCTGTTAAAATGCAACTCAATCCCAGTATCTGACATGCATCTAAAGAATACTTTAAAGATATAAGAAAGGATCAACCATAGATACTCTAAAGAATACCTAGAGAAACTGATGAGTGATTTTGTAAAAAAAACATAAGTTGTTTCAAATAAGCAATCCCAAACACCCCCTAAATCCCCTCCCGAAAAAAGAACAACTATAGTTCCAATATCCTTTAAGACAAACTAGGAATGAAGCTTTTGAATTAAATCATAACGAAACGATGGAGAACTATGAGTCTAAAAGTTACGTAGCCGAAAACATACACAATGACGGTTGACGCAAAATACCCAAACCGAGAAGCATCAGGTACACACTAAACAAATCCAAAGGGATTATATCAATCAAGCCTTATAATACGAACCGGATACTAGTGGTTTCACCGTAGAACATATGTCTCAGTATAATCAACCTTTAAGGATCAATAACTGCAAATATATCATGAAAGTGTAGTAGTGGCATGAAGTACCTTTGCATATACATATGTTTTTTAGGGTTATAGAATGCCACGTTTTTGAGTATTTTCATATACAAAACCCATGAACTCACTAAGTTTATTCGAATATCATTTATCGTATGGAAGGTCCATTTGATACATAGACACATTAATTTAGCTGGAGTTTGTCACGGATCATCGAGCCATCTCTTCGTACCRTGTCCAAGCACAAAGCCAAAGACTTCAACAACAGTCTCACGCACCTGCTAGCCTAGTCGCCCATAAGTTACAACACTAATTCACCATATTAGCATAACAACTCATGCCACCAACAAATGCTTCACTCTCGGACATATATCCATGCCCAACGTGGCTAACAGCACATCACTTTCAACGCCCAACATCTGAAGGTAAGACGGGTTCGACGCACACCTCTTCCATTGAGGGAAAGTGTAGTGATTTGGTATGGGACAAACTAAAGGTGTACGGATTTTTGTATGGTTTTCTTTTTAAGACTTCTATTATGTAATTGGCATTTGATTCCTAATATTTTAAGAGATTTTAATGGTTAACTAGTTAAGTATTTATTACTGAAAAGTTTAATTTGATATTTAAGAGGTTGTTTGTCTGCTGAATAGTTTGGTGCAAAATGATTAAGTTGTCAGAATGATTAAGAGACTTTCATGATATAATGCAAAATGAAATATAATTGTTTACAATGAAATCAAGACACTTAATGGTTAAGAAGATACAAAATCATTCTGATGCTTTTAGAACCATGAAGAGACATACTTTTTTTTTGTCAAATAAGATTCATTTCTTAATGAAACTATTAAGAGGTAAACAAACAAATATAAAAGATAGAGTTTAAGTTAAATTTTATAAATTACTGGGTATTAAATAGACATTAATTTGAGTATTTTATGAATACGGTGTCATTATTCATTAGCCACGATAGGGGGTGGCACAAAATGTTTAAAAAGTCAAGTTATACAACTTCATTAACTATGAGAGCAAAATGTAACCCTACTGGTTTTCACATATAGTAAAGGTAGATGAATATGCATTTTTAGAAAATAATAATCCGAAACGCAGACGATTTTCATTAAATCGGTAAAGAAAAATATACAGTATAATAACTAAAGGTCCACGAGACTTGGATTTGCAAGATATATAAATTAAACAAAACAGACAAAACCAATCAAAGAACAAGAAAAAAAACCGAGTGATCAAGCAGCTCGCGACCCCAAAAAAGATCTATTCATAACTATTATAACCGGAAGTTCCCTGAAAGCCATAAAAGTATAAGACATTTTGACCGTGATAAAGCTCAAAAAAAGACAACAGTTGGATGTCAAAAATTATGTCCGAATTTGGAATTGATTATTAATTAGGACGTAAATAATTAAAAATTAGATTTAATTATGTAATTAAAATAATTATTTTGTTCATGTTTCCCTATAAAATTAATTATTTTGACATTAAATAATCAAAACAAATAATCGGTCATTTTTACATTAATTGTGGTATTAGTTAGTCAATTTAAAGGTGTAAAAATAAGTTCTCTAGAGAGAGAGAGAAAAAACTATTTTGTTTAAAATTTGCAATTCTAAATAATCCAAGTGCCTATAAATTAATATGGTTGGTTTTTTAGGAGAAAAACAAACATGATTTCTCTATAAATTACTCAATCTGTTAGAGGCTAAATCACCATTGATCCAAATTACGTGCAATGGATACCATCATCACCATCCTTCTCATCGTTTCCTCTCTCATCTTGTCATTTTACTTTGTGCTCAACAAGAAACCCAAAGCTCTAAACTTGCCTCCGGGCCCACCAAAGCTGCCTCTAATCGGCAACTTACACCAGGTGGCCGGAGCTCTTCCACACCGKGTTTTCCGTGACTTGGCTAGCCGATATGGCCCCATCATGCACGTTAAACTCGGCCAAATCAATAGTGTCGTCATCTCATCACCTCGGCTAGCCAAAGAGGTGTTGAAAACCAATGATATCGCCATCGCTGACCGCCCATATGTGCTTTTAGCAGAGTTGGTACTCTCTG